TCACAGAGTCAGGAATTAACCTGAAAGCTGATTAGCATCGTGTGAGAACAAATTTACAGATCAAAAACTTGTGAAATATTTCATTCTTTTTATTACCAAAATAAGTAAGATGATCTAAAAAGGCTAAAGATTTGTGTCAGTTCCTTGAATTCACATTTTCAAAACCAAAGCCTGAATGCGCAACTGAGTTTAACCACTAGATGGCGCCAAAGATACGCCGTGCAGTTCTGTTTCTGTTTCGTTAGATTTTCTGACATTATGGGAAAGAAAAAGGGAAATAAAAATAATATAAACACAACTTTAATAATTCAATGAAAGCATTTGAACTAAAACCCAAATAGATACGATTTGCTCGACTTTCCAGTCCTACTCCGAACGTCAATCGACACTTTAATAATAATACTGCGGGGTTTTGCTTAGATTTTCAAAAATAATAAATAAAAAATAATTTACACTCAAGCATGTCCGCTTTAGATGTAAGCTGCAGACACTGCAATGGTTAAAAAGTTTTTTTTTTAGTTTATTTATTTTTTATTAAGCCATTTATATTTACATAAAAAATGCTTTCAGATAGGATGGTAAACGCGTAAATGAACAGATGAAGATTAATTACAATTGAAAAATACAAAGTAAAACAAATAGCAGGGGATTAATATCCACAAACATTCAAATCAAACATAGAAAGAGCCATAGAAAAATGGAAACCAGTCAGAATTCTGAGATTAAAGTCAGAATTCTGACTTTTCCTCATATTAAACTAAAATAAAATGTAAAAATCAGTTAACCTTTGTTATTTTTGCAGTAATCTCTACCGTAGTGCCCTATAAAGGGTTAAAAAAGGTTTCCGGTAAAACGTGTCGCTACGTAGTCGGCCAGTCAGAACATCTCTACGGAAAGCCTCTAGGGTCAAAACCCAGCGTTAAACCCTTCGAGATCAGCAGCCAGCCTGGATCGTCAGACCTGGATTGTGCGTGGGGGACGAACCGGACGGGACCCTCCGCTTTCAGCTGCCATGAACCCCGCTCCCGGTGCGGCTCAGCGGTGACTGGCCCCGCGGCGGACGGTGCTGCTCGCTCGGTGGGAGGGACGGAGCAGCGGAACCCTGGGCTCCGGGTAGCGGCTTGAAGCAGCCTGCTGCGATGCTACGTGGGCATCTAGAAGAAAAGCGCTTTTCTGCTCTTCAGACGGAGCGCGAGCCGCGGCTCTAACGGCCGTCTTTTAAGTCCCTGAATTTTATCTCTCGCATTTTTTTTTTTTTTTTTTTTAAAGCCGCCGCTGGTGAAGTTTCATATGGGGGGGATGGCAGGGCGAAGCCGCAGAGCCTGGTTCAGCGTCCTGCTGGGGCTGGTGGTCGGCTTCACGCTGGCTTCCAGGCTCATCTTACCCAGAGCCACCGAGCTGAAGAGAGCCGGACACAAGCGCAAAGCCAACCCCGCCGCCTGCGGGCTCAACGGGGGTCTGAGGAAGGAACACGGGGGGGTCCTGTGGGGGCAGCCGGCCAACGGCTCCCCCACCACCAACCAGCCGGACACCGGCTCCAAGAATTTCCTCTTCGTCGGTGTGATGACGGCCCAGAAGTACCTGAACAGCCGGGCCGTGGCCGCGCACAGGTACGCGCACACTACTGAGGATGGTGATGATGATGGCTGCACGCGGCCAGAAAGGCTCTTTAAATGTCAGAACCATCTAAACTCCTGCTGAGCCTCCAGTCTGGAAGAAAGGAGGGTCTGCTTCAGCCCACCACCTCCCAGCACCTCACTCATTTATTAAGGCATTTAAAATCCTGAAGAATTCAAACCCAAACTAGGAAGATGTTGGCTGAAGTAGCAGTTTTATAAATTCACCTAAAGGAATAAAACGATTTCTTTATAGTTTTTATGTTTTAAAACCTCTGTTTAACAGAGATAGTCTAATCTATACATAACCGTATAAAGAAAAAAAGAAAATCCAAAACAATCCATTGGACTTTGTTTCCAAGTTTGAGGACTTTTTTTTTTTTCAATTTAAAATGTCAGAAATGAGTTGGAGGTTTTTACAGTGGCCCAACAAAGGCTGGTTTTTGTTTTGAAAACATGCATATTGGAACAGACACCAGCACATTGCAGTCCATTTTGGGAAAGACACCCTCGGAATAATGCATGAGTATGAGAAATTGGTTTGGAAACTTACAGATTTTAGGGACCATCTTCGTCTCAGTCGGTTCCAATTTGCATGTTTTCAGAACAAAAACAAGGCTTTGTTGGGCTACTGTATAAAACCTGGAACTCAGCCCCATTCCTGACATTTTGAATTGAAAAAGCTTCCTGGATGGGAAGTTAAATGTCAAACTTGGAAACAAAGTCCAGTGGATTGTTTTAATTTTCTTTTTTTGGGAATGATCATGACCTGGATGACTGAGAACCTTCACCAGCAAAGCATATAAATATTAATAAGAATCCAAACTTGACTTTTAAGAGGTAAAATAGTTTACTCTGATAATCTTAAAGGGAATTTAAATTTTCAATTTAAAAGAATATATTTTAGGATTATTTATAAATAAGACCCTAATGTATTTCCACTTTTAGACAGCTTAGAAATTAGGAGTTGTTTTAAACCATATTTGAGCGACATGAACAGCTACTAATGCTGAATCCTTTATGGGGAACAATGCTCCTTCTGGTTAACCATTTTATGGCCAGGAATCTGGATGTTTTCTTTGGGCTTCTGATAAATTTAGATCATGTTGAATTAGACTAGAGCAATTTCTGCTGGAGTGATTTACACGTGCAATTTTAATTTGATTCCAGAGGAGAAATATAATTGAATGAGGTGGTGAAGGCAGCAAAACCCCCAAATACCCTGAGGAAAAACCCTGTTGGAATGGGAGAGTTTAGAGCTGGGAGATCAATTGATTCAATTTAATCAATTAACCAATTTACTGTTAATCCTTTATAGGGCTCTCAGGGAAATAGTTTGAAAATCAAACTTTCAAGCCAATAGTGTTATTGGAATCCAGGACAAGAACTTATTACCTTTTAGGGGTGTATATAATAATCGTTTTGTATCGATGCATCAATCCAATAGCTGACGATCCAATGCATCGAGGCGTCTGCAAGAGTATCGATTTTTAGCGGTCTATTTTTATCCATTTGGTCCTGGACATAATTCTGACTCCTGTGCTGCGGTGGCGCTAAACCTACTTGCCCTCCTACCTCGCTTCCTTTAGCCACTACTTTCCGCTTGCAGTATTTTTTGATGCAAAGCCTTTCAGAATCTATAAAACAGAGGCTTGATTATTTTTCAGTGAATGAGGTTTTCATAGGCTTAGGTGGAGTATAACTTTGCTACTTCAGTTATTTGCTGTTGTTTCTAAAATAAAATGCATAACGATATTACAGCTGTCATTTATTTATTTCAAATTTGAACCATTGTCTAGCCTGTAAGGTAAAAAAAAAAAAAAGAAAAAAGTAACCAATTTATCGAATCGTATCAAGATGTTTTCTTGAGTATCGAAAATAATCCAATCGTTGGGTCAGGATTTTGATACTGAATCGAATCGCAATGATGGGTGTGATTTACACCTCTATTACCTTTGTAACATTCAAAAAATCTGGATATTTTGATGGTGAAATTTAATGTCAATGTAATAACAAGAAACGCCAACTTGCCCGAATAAGTTAAGAAAAATAATAAAAAGTGCTTCTATAAGAAATTCATGGAAAAACACTTAGAGTGAAGCAAACACATCTGGTTTGGTCCAGCATAACCTTAGAGGCATTAATGCGGATACTGGCACTTACAGTTTTTAGTTTATAAACCTAAATATAATTGTTAACTAGGCTTATTGACTTTTTAACTTTTCAATTAGCTTTTTAGCTTTTTTTTCTTGACTTGTTAACTTTTTTTTCCAGCTTAATTTCCAGTAGGTAATATATCATTCAAGGGCTCATCTAGTTGGTCAAATGCCAAAATAAGATGCACAGCCATGTAGCGGCCTCATTGGTGCATCAGATTTGACTCCATTTTTGAGGGGTTTGCAAGTGATTGAAAATGCTAACTTGCCGTCTGAAGGGTCAATGAAGATTACACTTTTGGAAAATTGTTTTTTCCACCAGAGTGACATCAATTCATCACTGTTTGTTCTTCAGTCTCTCCTCATAACTGATCAACTAGTTTACCGGTGACAATTATTTTGTTATATTTTCATTGTCCGTTGTGAAAAATTATTGTTTTGCAATTACGCTTAATATGGAGTGGATTTTGTTCCATGATTGTAGCAAAAAAAATGAATTTATTAATCAACAAAGGTTTTAGGAGTAACTTTGCCATTATGTAAGTTTTTATTTTCATTCAAATTTGTTTTTCAAAGTTTTTTTTTTTAATGAATTGAATTTCATATTGCATTTTCGAGATACACACTCTCGCTCTTGACCAATAAAAAATGGTTTTGCTAACACCCAGCAGACCAATAGGAATGCGTCTTTGCTTCTCTCTCCAGAGGAAATCCCGCCCCCAGAAATGAAGAGAAAGTGATCTGAAACATGCAATATGAAAAGAATAAAGTCTTTAAAATTTGCTTTGGGTATTGATAATCAATCGATTCCTTTCAAATCTGCCGGAATCGGTCACGTTTTGCATTTCCGATTTCCCAGTTCAATGCCACAAATACCAGCGAAGAAGAACGTGCGGCGGTTTAATGTTTGTGCAGCGGCATTTAAAAGTGTGGCTTAAAGTTAATTAAGGAAAGAACCAGTTGGCTAGCTGCCAGACTGGCTATGGGATTATATAAAATGCAAAGAACTACAAACGGCCAACGTGATTAAACACCGCCGCCGGCGGACTCAGGGCCTCACCTTTGACCCGCTGTTGTCAGTAGGCTCCCTGTTTGCTCCTCGGATAAAATCTTAGCACAGATTCTGCAGGAAGAGCCAAGCCTTCCCCATTTTCTTCTATTTTTCCCGTTTTTATTTTTTCAAATTTCATTTTTTTTTCTCTTCCTCTTTTTCTCTGTCTCGTTTCATACACGTTGTGGATAGAATGAAAAACACATTAATCTGCTTAATTAAACATGTTAAGCATAACTCTTTCTGCTTATCTTAGTGCAGTCAGGGTCTGTTACATGTGATGAAACTCACTAACTGAACAAGGGAGTAGAAATCTGAATGTTGGTCTGTCCAAACAAACATCTAACATCACTACTTCCACGCCTGGCTGAGTAGATCTGAGGGTCAATAAACAACGCTGAAGATATAAACTGTCAGGATGCCTTCCTGCTGTGCTGCCTTCTCATGCAGCTCAGACACTCGGCCTAGACAGCACCACGGTCAGAATCCGTAAATAAAATAATAAATCTGTTTTATATGGCATAAGAAACTGAAGCATCAAAAACTGGGTATGTGTAAATGTGTTTTCTTGTGTTTTTGAACAATAAAGCTCCATGTAAAGGGCGTATTAGACTTCTGCAACTGCACACATCAAATGTTGCTTGCGTCTGGTCGTGAATCAGTTTTGCTGGTATGCTTCTGCACCGTCGCTCTGTAATTTCTATGGACGCACTGTGTAAATCACATCCATCATGGCGATTCGATTCAGTATCGATCTCTTGACCCAACGATTCGATTATTTTCGATACTCAAGAATACATCACGATACGATTCGATTAATTTGTTCTTTTTTTTTTTTTTTTTTACACCTTACAGGCTAAACAAAGTTTCAAATTTGAAATAAATCAATGAAAGTTGTAATATCGTTATGCATTTTTTTTTTTAGAAACAACAGCAAATAGCAGAAGTAGAAAAGTTGCGTCAAAAAATACTGCACAAAATCATTGCAATGTGTGCAATGAAATACCTCGGCTCCAGACGTCCCGCCCCCTCCACAGACGCTCTGCTGCACCTCTCCCAAATTGTAGCTGACAGCAGACAGTGCCGCAGACAGGAGGCCGGCTTGGTTTGTTTTTATGACCGAAATTGCAGAAAACAACTCGTGAAGTTTGACCCGCTAGAAGAGCGAGGTGCGCGAGAACGCTGGGACCCTTTTTCCACCTGGATCTCTGCTCTTTTTGGCCCTCATGTCCCTCCGTCGTCGGACTAAACTCGCCCCCACTTCCTCATCGCCTCAGCTGTATCTACACCCACAGCGTGTAG